TATCCTTGTTCACTGATAATGTAAAACTAGTAGAGGGGATATACAAACACAAGGATGAGGAAAGGCTGATAATGGACCTGGACAAGCTGTAAGATTGAGCTGATAAGTGGTTAGATTCAGGCTGAGCAAATGCAAGGTTATGATGACTGGGGAAGGGGCCAGATAACAGGACATGGAGTATAGACTTGGGACAGATGCTACAGACCTCGCTCTAAGAGGAAGAGCTAGGGGTGAGTATAGCATCTAGCATATCACCAGAGGCTCACATCAAATAACTTCTGCAGTCAATGTTTGCCTGGCAATTCTAAGAGTTTCCTTCTGAAATCTAAAAAGAATCATTCCAGGGCCATCTTGAAGTATATGGCATAGTCATGGAACCCACACATGAGAAAGAATGTTAAGAAACTTATGACATTGTAGAGGTATGCAATAATACTTGTTCCAGAACCAAGGGATATGAGCTACGAGGAGACTGATAACAATGTATAAAATATTCAGAAACAAGGTTGGCAAAAACCATAGCTTAAAAAAAAAAATTTAAACCAAAAACCATGTTATTTATTTTACTTGATTTTAATGATTCAGCAATCATTGCTACTTCCCCCCCCCCCCATCTCAAAGAAAAAAAAAATCACTGTTAACCCGTAAACGGTCCAAACGTATATATACATTCACTACCGTACTGCCCCAACTTTTTTGAGAAAAAAAACATTGTTTTTTTTAATAGGAAAAAAGAGCATATGGTACCCAGGCATCCCCAATTATTTTAATATGGTGCACAGTGAGCGCTCACACCCATTCTCACATGTCTAGGCGACTCAGGCTTATCGTGGCAATGTTAAATGTAGGACACAAAACGTATATATACATTTAGGGTACTAGCGGTAAAAACGTATATATACGTTTGGACAGTTTACGGGTTAATAGATCAAATCTGGAAAACACAAGCTTTACCACTCATCTAGATGAGAGGAAACTTGACAGGCAACAGATGTTTTGGGGCATAGTGGGAAGTTGAAGATGATGAACCACAGGAATGCCAGGAAGTATTTCTTTAGTCTTGAGGTAATTAGAGAGTAGAGTGACCTCAACAAGATAAAGTTTATTTCTTTGTAAAGGTTACAATGTGTAATTACAATATTGATTTACTAAGTACGAAGATAGCCACTATCATGCCAGGGCATTTTGGGCAGACTAATCCTAACATAGCTTTAAGAGCAGATATGATAAGGCCCACAAAGCTAAGGAGTGAAAAAGGCAAGCAGCACATTGAGAGAAGGGAGGCCTTTCAATTCGACCCATGCAACCACAGGTAGGCGAGTTTTAGAGAGAGAGCTAAATGCTCTACCACTGACCTATGAGACATACCACCTTGATTATATTATGCTGTCCTCCTCCAGGATTACAGTGCTGTATAGCCCTTGTGGTTTAGCACTTCTTTTTTGATAGTAATAATCCTTCAGGATTAGCACTGATTTACATATAAGAAACCAAAAAAAAAAAAAGGCATTGAAAGAAATTTGTATTAAAATAACTTTATTTCAATATGAAATATATCAATGTAATAATATAAATTATATCAAACTGATCAATCTTAGCTACAGCCAAAAGAGTACAAGTTATTTTTTTATAACAATTTCTGTGTTTTAAGGTAATTAAAATTTAATATTTACCCAAAGCTATTCAGCATCACCAAGTTTAAAGATTCAAAAACTGTTATTATTTAAAGATATTCACAACTTTTAATTAAACTCTGATAAATCTGTGATGAAAAAAGTACATTAGATGTATATAATACTGTTAGTGATTGGACTTAAAAAGAGACATAACACAAGTTTCCCTTCAGTCTATGCAGCTTTGCCTTGTGCAAATTCACTTATATGTGGCAACCTATTTCTACCAGTATTTCACTCTGTGCAATGTAAACTTGCTCCTAAGTGACCACCCAAACCCATCACCGATTTATTTTTAAACAGCATCTCTCTCTCAATATCGCTTGAAAGAATAATCATAAAGACAATAAATATAGGGACAGCAAATCTAAGGACCATATTTTTTAATAAAATCCCAGGATTAGTCTTACAATCTAAATGTTTTTGGCAAAATTAAGAATAGACACCTGGGCAAATGAAGTTGGGTTGATCTAACGGCAGGTCTGGAATCTGGGTAGAGGGCGGGAGGAAAGAGTAATTGAGAGATATGCATTAGTAAGTTTATTTAGGTGCAGGTACACATAAGTACAATTATCATAACTAGTAACTTATGTGTAAATTACCTAGAATAACACAAAAAAGGTCCATGTTTGTGCATTTGTTATAAAACTAACCAGAAAAAAAAGTGGATAAATGGATTCTGATGAAAATTTGGTATTAGATTCTGTTCAAAATCCGATTTAGTAATACGTGACTTATTTCCACTGGTTAGTTAGTCAGGAATGGAGGGAAGGGTAAAAGTGAGGAGGATTATGATTCAACTTAGAATTAAACTTTTTCTAAAAAAGTTCTTGACTACTTGTATGTACCATATTTTTGGTATATGGCTATGTAGTGCCTATTTGATATGCTCAAAATTTTAGGGTAAGCTTATATTTTTGATAAACATTAGTCAAATAATGACTAATTGAAAGGAGTATGGAGGAAGTGAAAGATGAAAAGTGAATGGTAGGCGGAGTGTTGAGGCATCCATGGAAAGTCTACCTGAGGCAAAAAGAGGAATGTACCACAGTACAGTCATACCAACCCCTTTAAATGATGAGAGTCAAGGGATTTAAATGCTAGAGTATGTACGTGTCTAGAGCCAGTGGAGATGTCATGACTGAGAGTAATGTGTAGAATTAATATTATGCAGAGAATTCAGAAAATAGAAATTAGATGTAGGGTTACAAAAGGTATTATTCAGAGGTCAGAGGAGGGGTTGTTGAGGTGGTGTGGGTATTTAGAGAGGAATGAGGAGAATAGGATGACAGAGTGGAAGGAGGGGCTTACAGGGGTCATCCTAGGAAGGAATAGAGGGAGGGTGTGAAGGAGGTTTTGTGCATCCAGCAGGCATGTGTAAATGTATTAGTTCAGGACACATGATTTTAGAGATTTGACAAGCTGTTGAACTGTGAGCAAGGTAACAATCATAAAGGGATTCAGGGAAATTGGCTAGCTGGATTTGAGTCCTGGAGTATCATTTACTTGTAATGTCTATGCACTTCTGTCAAGACAGCTATTGAATGAGTGATAGTGAATGCTCCATTTTATGGGTCACCCTCTGTTGGTGGGAAGCAGCTGATGTAACAAAACTAATAAAGATTGTGGCTTTTTAATATATCCATTTTTTACCAAGGTAGGGCTATCTAAAAAAAAAAAGAAAAATCATACACCTTCATTCATTCTCTAGCTGTCTTTCCATATCAACTCTGAAAATGGAATGAAAGTTGATATGCAAGGATATTTTTCAAAATACCATGCAGTGTTGTATGACCCTAGTGGGTTTAGCACTTCTTTTTTATTATAACAGTAATAATTTAAAATACCATAACATACTTGCATAACCCATATACATTTTTGCTGCAGTTTAAGGGAAGATTTACATAATTTCACTATGCCTGTATTGAACAAATGGTAAAATATTCACATATAAAGTAAAATTTATTCTATCCACACTTGCTGGGTCACCAACTAGACAAGACCCAGGTCGGGACAACACCAGCGAACCACTTCGAATCTATCCATGAATAATACTTTCTAAAATTATATACATAAAATTTTTATTACTCTTAGACATATGATGAATGATTTATTGTACATAGGTATATTTTTTTTTATCTGGTTTCACAAAATGTGAATTTTTTCATGCCTAAATATGCAGAGATTTTTAAATAATGGTATACGTATTTTTAAAAAGCTTTTGAAACGTAAAAACAAATAAAACAAAAACAAAATCTCCGGGATTACAGTGAGAAAGAATGAAATTTCCCACAAGGGTAATGGTACATCTGTGGAAAACCCCATGGAATATACTCACCAGGGATTTGAACAAGGGAAGCAAATCCTTAAAAAAAAAGGCCTGCACTAACCACTGTACCATGCCAGCCAAACAATTCATCCAATTAAGTATGTATTTTTTTTAAGCCTATGAACTATACAGACCTCACTATGACCCAAAATTTTCATAAAAACAGGCATGGCAAGCACAAACACATTCTTTTAAAAAACAATTATTAGTGACTCGTAAATTGAAGCTCCTCACGAATGGGTAAGTAAAAATTTGAACCCGGGTGAGCCCACCTAAAGTACAGCCAGGAGTTAACTGCTGTACCTGCCTGTCAAAACCGTCATGTAGATTTGTCTAAATTTATTTTTAACATAAAAAAACCCTATTGTGGCATGGGGGGGCCCTCTAACATTCCTAGGTTTACAGAAAAATACCAAGAGGATGAATCTTATTACAATACAGGATAGTATTGTGCACGTTTTGCAGTTTAAGACAGCTTGCCCTGTTGAATCCCCCGCATGAGCTGCTAACAAACCTTTTATTTTGATCTTGCAAGCCATAGCATACCCTAAGTTATTGACAAAGTTGGTGGTAAAAACACTACCTCAACACCCCCCAGTTTAAGAAAAAGGGTAACCAGCCCTTTTCTCTTGGATTCAAATTTCTAAGAATAAGATAAGATAAGATTCGTTCGGGGTTTTTAACCCCGGAGGTTAGCCACCCCGGAAACCCAAGAAATCAGGGTCACGAGGACTTCTAACTTATTTTCCCTTGGGGTCCTTTAAACTTGTCCCCCGGGTGCACCCACACCCGTCGCTAACACCCGGACCTATTTTCTCTAGGTGAACAGGACAAAAGGTTAAGGAAACGTGTCAATGTTTCCACCCCCGGGAACGAAACCCCGGCCCCCCCCGTGTGTGAAGCGGGAGCTTTAGCCCCCAGGGCCCCCGCTTACAAGGATTCCTATTCCTCCCTAAATCTAATAGATATTTTTGTGAACTTGATTTCACCCTTTTAATTTTTATCTGCCCAAATTTGTTACCAGTAAAGAATTTTAGGACATCAGAAGGTCCCCAATTCACAAAAGTTAACATTACAATGATTCACACTTTCCATCAAGGGTCAAAAGACATTATATTGAGAAAATAATTGTTTTAGGAGCATCAGTCTGCAGGTAAGAACATGTTACTCATAAGTATCATTTGTACTATCTTTTTTTCTGTAAGATAACAGATTTTTGACATCTGAACTGTTGTACATGCATGCCTCTGGCAAGACAGTGATAGTGTGAATAATGATGAAAACATTTTTTTTTTTTGGTGGCCCTGCCTCAGTGGGAGATGGCCAGCATGTTAACAAAAAAAGTATTTAAGGTTACAAATGACTCGTTTGCAAGCTGAATCACCAGAAACACAGCTACTAGAGTTGAAAACCTCCTGAATTTCTCAAACGGGAATGAAATTAATGACTAATTTATTTTATCAATTGACTAGATGATTGTAAGACTATATATTCTGTCTAGAGAGGAAAGTTTGCTTCTGTTCATAAAGTCGTTGTTGGAGGAAATTGTAGAAATCTACATCGTCGGCCATTCTTCTCAGTAGCTCTTGTCGAGTTGAAATAGGAACTTCAGGCTTCTTTTGATTTTGATTAACAATTATATGTTCTTGGTGTCCTGAAATGTAGTTTTAAAGTATTCAAATGCATTGGTTAAAAGTTTGTAAAATCTTATTGTGGTACTGGAAGTACTTAAAATAATAGGAGCCAGTCTTCAAAATAGTGAGTGACTAGTTAATGGTCCAAGTCGGACTGAAACATCGTCATAAGTTTCTTTCTCCTATGTGCAGGTTATTTATGTATAGTCTGCTTGTCAGTTTTCATATGCCTCCACAGCAGCACTGTATGACCCCTGCGGGCTTAGCGCTTAGTTATGATTGTAATAATAATGTATGCCTCCACAACACGCTAGGTAGTATTACATACTGTCATTGGTACCTTGACCATTCCTACATGTCATGTTCTTTACTGTAATTATCTTTTTAACCACCACTCTACTGTAATTACTTATTTACATATACAGTGGACCCCCGCATAGCGAACGCCTTGCATAGCGAACAATCCGCATAGCGAACGCTTTGTTCGCTAAAATTTTGCCCCGCATAGTGGACAAAAACCCGCTCAGCGACCTTCGTCCGAGACGCGTCCAATGTGCGCCCTCAGCCAGCCTCACATGTGCCGCCCGTCCCATTGTTTACCAGCCAGCCTCCGCGGTAACATTCAAGCATACACTCGGAATATTTCGTATTATTACAGTGTTTTCGGTGCTGTTTGTGGAAAATAAGTGACCATGGGCCCCAAGAAAGCTTCTAGTGCCAACCCTACACCTCAAGGGTAAGAATACCATTGAAATGAAGAAAGAGATCATTGATAAGTATGAAAGTGGAGTACGTATCACCGACCTGGTCAGGTTGTACAAGAAACCAAAATCAACCATCGCTTCTATTGTGGGCAAGAAAACGGCAATCAAGGAAGCTGTTGTTGCCAAAGGTTTAACTGTGTTTTCGAAACAAAGATCGCAAGTGATGGAAGATGTTGAGAGACTCTTATTGGTGTGGATAAATGAAAAACAGCTAGCAGGAGATAGCGTCTCTCAAGCGATCATATGTGAAAAGGCTAGGAAGTTTGCATGACGATTTAATTAAAAAAATGCCTGCAACTAGTGATGATGTGAGTGAATTTAAGGCCAGAAAAGGGTTTTGGTTTGAGAGATTTAAGAAGCGTAGTGGCATCCATAGTGTGATACGGCATGGTGAGGCTGCCATCGGACCACAAAGCGGCTGAAAAATATGTGCATGAATTCAAGGAGTACATAGAAACTGAAGGACTGGAACCTGAACAAGTGTTTAATTGTGATGAAACAGGCCTGTTCTGGAAGAAAATGCCAAGCAGGACCTACATTACTCAGGAGGAAAAGGCACTCCCAGGACATAAGCCTATGAAAGACAGGCTTACTTTGTTGATGTGTGCCAAATGCTAGTGGTGATTGCAAAGTTAAGCCTTTATTAGTGTAATCACTCTGAAACTCCCAGAGCGTTCAGGCAAAAGAATGTCCTCAAGGATAATTTTGTGTGTGCTGTGGAGGGCAAACAGTAAGGCATGGGTCACTAGGGAATTTTCTATAACTGGTTACACCATGCATTTGCCCCCAATGTGAAAGATTACCTAACTGAAAAGAAATTAGACCTTAAGTGCCTCCTGGTGTTAGACAATGCCCCTGGTCATCCTACAGACGTGGCAGAGCGACTTTATGGGGACATGAGCTTCATTAAGGTGAAGTTTTTGCCTCCTAATACCACTCCTCTCCTGCAGCCCATGGACCAGCAGGTCATTTCCAACTTCAAGAAACTGTACACAAAAGCTCTGTTTCAAAATGCTTTGAAGTGACCACAGACACTCGATTGACTCTAAAAGAGTTTTGGAAGGATCACTTCAATATCCTCCAATTGTGTAAACCTTATAGGTAAGGCTTGGGAGGGAGTGACTAAGAGAACCTTGAACTCTGCTTGGAAGAAACTGTGGCCAGAATGTGTAGACAAAAGGGATTTTGAAGGGTTTGAGGCTAACCCTGAGAGGAGTAGTATACCAGTTGAGGAATCAATTGTGGAATTGGGGAAGTCCTTGGGGTTGGAGGTTAGTTGGGGAGGATGTGGAAGAGTTGGTGGAGGAGGACAATGAAGAACTAACCACTGATGAGCTGATAGATCAACTCAAGAGCAAGAGGCCAGACCCGGGGAAACTGGTTCAAAGGAGGGGAGAGAGAAATTGAAGGAATTGCCTACTTCAAAGATTAAGGAAATGTGTGCAAAATGGCTTGAAGTGCAAACCTTTTTTGATGAAATCACCCTCACACAGCTATTGCAAGCCGTGCTGGTGACTGTTACAATGACACTGTTGTGAACCACTTTAGACAAATCATAAAGGAACGAGAGGTACAGGCCACTATGGACAGATATGTTGTGCGAAAGAAGTCCAGTGACTCTGAAGCTGGTCCTAGTGGCATTAAAAGAAGAAGGGAAGTAACCCCAGAAAAGGACTTGCTACCTCAAGTCCTAATGGAAGGGGATTCCCCTTCTAAACACTAACACTCTCTCTCCCCTCCTCCCATCCCATCAATCATCACCAGATCTTCAATAAAAGTAAGTGTCATGTAATTGTGCATGCCTTTTTTAGTTTGTGTGTACTAAAATTAACATTTTTTTGTGGTAAAAAAAATTTTTTTTCATACTTTTGGGTGTCTTGCACGGATTAATTTTATTTCCATTATTTCTTATGGGGAAAATTAATTCGCATAGCGAACATTTCGCATAACGACCAGCCCTCTTGCACGGATTAAGTTCGCTATGCGGGGGTCCACTGTACTGTAATTGCATATTTACTGATACTAAAATTCCCTATTTACTTTCAATGTAATTACCTGTATACTTCTACTGTAATTACCAGTTTACTATATGGGTAGTTAAACAATTCTCAGTTCTGTACTGAATCACAGCTAAGAATATAGTTATCATTAATTCTGAGTATCAGTTTAGTTTATCATTGGTACTCACGTATTTTATCATATACTTTGAGAGCCCCAGTCAAGTAGCGTGGAACAAGTGCCTCCATAAGGAGGAGAGAAATATCCATTTGATTGACCAACCCAACAACACTGTACTCTTCTGATACAACTTTCTTGGCAACTTGTAAGGCATCAGGATGCCCTAGTATCCTGTAGGAAAATTAGAGAAATAACTGTACACATTTAAAGTTTTTTTTTTTTTTTTTTTTTTTCCCCAACAAGTTGGCCGTCTCCCACCGAGGCAGGGTGACCCAAAAAAGAAAGAAAATCCCCAAAAAGAAAATGCTTTCATCATCATTCAACACTTTCACCACACTCACACATAATCACTGTTTTTGCAGAGGTGCTCAGAATACAACAGTTTAGAAGCATATACGTATAAAGATACACAACATATCCCTCCAAACTGCCAATATCCCAAACCCCTCCTTTAAAATGCAGGCATTGTACTTCCCATTTCCAGGACTCAAGTCCGACTATATGAAAATAAACGGTTTCCCTGAATCCCTACACTAAATATACCCTGCTCACACTCCAACAGATCGTCAGGGCCCAAGTATCATTCATCTCCATTCACTCCTATCTAACACGCTCACCACGCTTGCTGGAAGTCCAAGCCCCTTGCCCACAAAACCCCCTTTTTACCCCCTCTCCCCCAACCCTTTTCGAGGACGACCCCCACCTCGCCTTCCTTCCCCTATAGATTATATGCTTTCCATGTCATTCTACTTTGATCCATTCTCTCTAAAAGACCAAACCACCTCAACAACCCTCTTCTGCCCCTGACTAATACTTTTATTAACTCCACACCTTTCCTAATTTCCACACTCCGAATTTTCTGCATAATATTTACACCACACATTGTCCTTAGACAGGACATCTCCACTGCCTCCAACCGTCACCTCGCTGCTGCATTTACCACCCAAGCTTCACACCCATATAAGAGATGTTGGTACTACTATACTTTTATACATTCCCTTCTTTGCCTCCATAGATAACGTTTTTTGACTCCACATATACCTCAATGCACCACTCGCCTTTTTTCCCTCATCAATTCTATGATTAACCTCATCCTTCATAAATCCATCCGCCGACACGTCAACTCCCAAGTATCTGAAAACATTTACTTCTTCCATACTCCTCCTCCCCAATTTGATATCCAATTTTTCTTTATCTAAATCATTTGATACCCTCATCACCTTACTCTTTTCTTGTTCATTTTCAACTTTCTACCTTTACACACATTCCCAAACTCATCCACTAACCTTTGCAATTTTTCTTTAGAATCTCCCATAAGCACAGAAATCATCAGCAAAAGTAACTGTGTTTAATTCCCATTTTGAATTTGATTCCCCATAATTTAATCCCACCCTTCTCCCGAACACCCTAGCATTTACTTCTTTTACAACCCCATCTATAAATATATTAAACAACCATGGTGACATTACACATCCCTGTCTAAGACCTACTTTTACCGGGAAGTAGTCTCCCTCTCTTCTACACACCCTAACCTGAGCCTCACTATCCCATAAAAACTCTTTCCAGCATTTAGTAACTTACCACCTATTCCATATACTTGCAACATCTGCCACATTGCTCCTCTATCCACTCTATCATATGCCTTTTCTAAATCCATAAATGGTATACTCAATAAACTTATTCCTCTATAATTTTTACAATCTCTTTTGTCCCCTTTCCCTTTATATAAAGGGACTATACATGCTCTCTGCCAATCCCTAGGTACCTTCCCCTCTTTCATACATTTATTAAACAAAAGTACCAACCACTCCAACACTATATCCCCCCCTGCTTTTAACATTTCTGTCATGATCCCATCAGTTCCAGCTGCTTTACCCCCTTTCATTCTACGTAATGCCTCACGTACCTCCCCCACACTTACATTCTGCTCTTCTTCACTCCTAAAAGATGGTATACCTCCCTGACCAGTGCATGAAATTACCACCTCCCTTTCTTCCTCAACATTCAAAAGTTCCTCAAAATATTCTCGCCACCTACCTAATAAGGAGGCAGCTCTGATGAAAACTCACACTCACATGAGCTTTTAAATCTCTGCACAAAATTCAATTTAAACCAGCAGATAATAGAGCCTACTAGAATGGAGAATACACTAGACCTCATCTTCACTAACAATGATGATCTGATAAGAAATGTCACCATATCAAAAACAATATACTCAGATCACAACATAATTGAGGTTCAGACATGTATGCGCAGAGCCCCAGACCGACAAAATGAGATTAGTCACGAAGGAGCATTCACCAAATTCAACTTCAATAACAAAAACAAAGTGGGACCAAGTAAACCAAGTCCTAACCGATATAAGCTGAGAAGATATACTAAGCAACACAGACCCCAATTTATGCCTAGAGCAGATTAACTTGGTGGCACTCTATGTATGCACAAGACTTATTCCTCTAAGAAAAAGGAGGAGTAGATGTAAAATAGAAAGAGACAGGCGCTTTCTTTACAGGCGACGGAAAAGAATAACAGAGCGGCTAAAAGAGGAGAATCTATCTGAAATGCGTAGGGAGACACTGGTCAGAGAAATAGCAAACATCGAACTTAAGCTAAAGGAATTTTAAATAGGAGTCAGGAATCGCGGGAAGAACTAAAAGCCATAAATGAAATCGAAAGAAACCCAAAGTATTTCTTCTCCTATGCCAAATCAAAGTCGAGAACAACGTCCAGTATTGGGCTCTTACTTAAACAAGATGGGTCCTACACAGATGACAGCAAGGAAATGAGTGAGCTACTCAAGTCCCAATATGACTCAGTTTTTAGCAAGCCACTAACCAGACTGAGAGTCGAAGATCAAAATGAATTTTTTATGAGAGAGCCACAGAATTTGGTTAACACAAGCCTATCTGATGTTATCCTGACGCCAAATGACTTCGAACAGGCGATAAATGACATGCCCATGCACTCTGCTGCCCAGGGCCAGACTCATGGAACTCCGTGTTCATCAAGAACTGCAAGAAGCCCCTATCACGAGCCTTTACCATCCTATGGAGAGGGAGCATGGACACGGGGTCGTCCCACAGTTACTAAAAACAACAGACATAGCCCCACTCCACAAAGGGGGCAGTAAAGCAACAGCAAAGAACTACAGACCGATAGCACTAACATCACATATCATAAAAATCTTTGAAAGAGTCCTAAGAAGCAAGATCACCACCCATCTAGAAACCCATCAGTTACACAACCCAGGGCAACATGGGTTTAGAACAGGTCGCTCCTGTCTGTCTCAACTATTGGGTCACTATGACAAGGTCCTAGATGCACTAGAAGACAAAAAGAATGCAGATGTAATATATACAGACTTTGCAAAAGCCTTCGACAAGTGTGACCATGGCGTAATAGCGCACAAAATGCGTGCTAAAGGAATAACAGGAAAAGTCGGTCGATGGATCTATAATTTCCTCACTAACAGAACACAGAGAGTAGTAGTCAACAGAGTAAAGTCCGAGGCAGGCACGGTGAAAAGCTCTGTTCCACAAGGCACAGTACTCGCTCCCATCTTGTTCCTCATCCTCATATCTGACATAGACAAGGATGTCAGCCACAGCACCGTGTCTTCCTTTGCAGATGACACCCGAATCTGCATGACTGTCTTCCATTGCAGACACTGCAAGGCTCCAGGCGGACATCAACCAAATCTTTCAGTGGGCTGCAGAAAACAATGTGAAGTTCAACGATGAGAAATTTCAATTGCTCAGATATGGTAAACACGAGGAAATTTAATCTTCATCAGAGTACAAAACAAATTCTGGCCACAAAATAGAGCGAAACACCAACGTCAAAGACCTGGGAGTGATCATGTCGGAGGATCTCACCTTCAAGGACCATAACATTGTATCGATCGCATCTGCTAGAAAAATGATAGGATGGATAATGAGAACCTTCAAAACGAGGGATGCCAAGCCCATTGTGGAAATTTATTTGGTCCAAATAGTTCCACAGCTCAGATCCAGCATGGGCGTCTGGTCGTCTGAGCCGAGCGGCCCTTAAACCCTCCCAAACACGGCATTCTCTGGTTGGCGGTTGGTAAGCTTATTAAATTTATAGATTTACTCTTCAGGGAAGGAGTAGGTAGTTTTACTGGTAGTACACTAATATTAGGTTTACTAAGGCATCTGTAGATAATGATAGAGTAGACCTAAGACCTTAACATAGGTAGTAATAGGCCGATAATGTAGGCAAACATTAGGATAAGTTAGCTAGGGAGAACTGGCAGCCCTAGCTTGAATGGCGGGGCGCAGGTCACAAAGACAGAATAGCGTCCTTCTTACGATAGACACCGACTGGACAAGACGTGCTGTGAACAGCAGGCGGCGCCCCCACGTGTCTTCACATCTGAGACCTGGGGAAATCTGGTAGAGGCACCTCGATGTACCGTAGATGATCTCCTCCATCAGCCCATACAGTAAGACGAGATATTCACCTTTTCCCGTAGGATCTGGCCAGTATCTTAGGAGATTGTGGGTTGAGTTACTGTGGGCTCGGCGTGCTACAGAGAGAGAGCATGCCCAGTAAGTACCAACGTCTCAGAGCCGTCAGAAGCTAGTGTCTGAGTCTGCATAGTTTTACTAGGGGATACATACCCTCTTGGATATAGGAATTTCTGAGGTGCAGGCAGGACACTAATAACGATTGAATATTGCAGGAATTAATGCTCCCGGTTGCACGTGGTTCCCAAGGGGAAGGCCAAAGGGGCTAAAGCTAGGCTTAGGAAGTTGAAGATCAGGATATATGCTGCAACACCAAGTAAATTAGTCCTTTATACGTGCATGCAGGCAAGGTTTCTTGCAATACCAATCATTTGTGAAAATCTGTTCTATAAGCCACTTGTGAGGCTGAGGTACCCACCTCAGAGCTCGGTGTCAACAGAGTTTGCCAGGGTAGGCGACTCACTTGGAGGCAGTCCACACAAATTTTCACACCCATGATGACACTCTTCAGGTCACTTGTTCTATCTAGGCTGGAATATTGCTGCACACTAACAGCACCTTTCAAGGCAGGTGAAATTGCTGACCTAGAAAATGTACAGAGAACCTTCAAGGCGCGCATAACGGAGATAAAACACCTCAATTACTGGGAGCGCTTGAGGTTCCTGAACCTGTATTCCCTGGAACGCAGGCGGGAGAGATACATGATTATATACACCTTGAAAATCCTAGAGGGACTAGTACCGAACTTGCACACGAAAATCACTCACTAAGAAAGCAAAAGACTTGGCAGACGATGCAACATCCCCCCAATGAAAAGCAGGGGTGTCACTAGCACGTTAAGAGACCATACAATAAGTGTCAGGGCCCCGAGACTGTTCAACTGCCTCCCAGCATACATAAGGGGGATTACCAACAGACCCCTGGCAGTCTTCAAGCTGGCACTGGACAAGCACCTAAAGTCGGTTCCTGATCAGCCGGGCTGTGGCTCGTATGTTGGTTTGCATGCAGCCAGCAGTAACAACCTGGTTGATCAGGCTCTGATCCACCAGGAGGCCTGGTCACAGACCGGGCCGCGGGGGCGTTGACCCCCGGAACTCTCTCCAGGTAAACTCCAGGTAATACCTCCCTCTCCCCATCTACTAACTCCCCTACTCTGTTTTTAACTGACAAATCCATACTTTCCCTAATCTTTCTTAACTTGTTTAACTCACTCCAAAATTTTTTCTTATTTTCATTAAAATTTCTTGACAGTGCCTCTCCCACTCTATCATCTGCTCTCCTTTTGCACTCTCTCACCACTCTCTTCACCTTTCTTTTACTCTCCATATACTCTGCTTTTCTTATAACACTTCTGCTTTGTAAAAACCTCTCATAAGCTAACTTTTTCTCTTTTATCACACCCTTTACTTCATCATTCCACCAATCACTCCTCTTTCCACCTGCCCCCACCCTCCTATAACCACAAACTTCTGCCCCACATTCTAATACTGCATTTTTAAAACTATTCCAACCCTCTTCAACCCCCCCACTACTCATCTTTGCACTAGCCCACCTTTCTGCCAACAGTCGCTTATATCTCCCCCGAACTATTGTCATTAAACTAGTAGCATGCCCTAGTATCCTGTAGGAAAATTTGAGAACTTACTGTACATATTAAAAGTTATAGTCAGTAAACTAGTGAACAAGTTTACATGAGGCTTTTTAATGTATCTGTGAAACCATTTTCAACAAAAATGCTCTGCCCAAAAAGAAGTCTTTATAATCTTAGTTAAGTCAATAAAATATGATACTGTATAATGATAGTAACAGATTTATTTCCCAGGAAGTATCATTAGTTACAATACAGTATGCTAACAGAATACATGTACATGTATAATTCTTACAAAGAAAGGCCTATAGTTATGAATAGTATTTCAGTCAGACTTAAGCTACAACTACTGTATTAATGCTGCCATTCACTCGTTTTCTAGTGGTGCAAAAATTGAAACACTTTGCATTCATCTATTAATATTCTTTATATAAATGCCTGCATCATATCACATTAATTTTCAGGATTAGAAGCTAATTTTTGAGGAAAATGCTGACAGTATAAATGAAATTAAATCTTGGTCAGACATATAATAAGGACTATCAAGCAGAGAATGCTAATTTTTATACTATTTTTTTTAATTGTAATAGGAAAAATAACAGCTTCAGTGATGAAGTAGTCAACAGGGAAGTCAGGCCTCAGGCTGGGCTGCAAGCATAGAAGAACCCTTGAAACCAGTCACAGATATGTCATGGATGAAACAGTAGTAAAATCTTAAATTAATCACACCTTAAACAGGTCCCATGAAAGAGGACCAGGTTTGCAGAGGCAGACACCTGCAAATTAAGTTAGTCTTAAGTCTGCCCGAAATGCTCTGCATATTAAGGGGCTTTCAGCATGCACACCTAAATGTAATTAACATTTATACAAACATTGTATCATGCTGAAATAAAGTATCTTTATCTTCATTTAAATATCACATTGGTCTCTAAAAAGCAAATTAATCGCTTTATAGTAATTTTTTTTTTAACAAATCGGCCGTCTCCCACCTAGGCAGGATGACCCAAAAAGAAAGAAAATCCCCCAAAAGAAAATATTTTCATCATCATTCAACACTTTTACCTCACTTATACATAATCACTGTTTTTGCAGAGGTGCCCAGATACAAAAGTTTAGAAGCATATATAAAGATAAATAACATATCCCTCCAAACTGCCAATATCCCGAACCCCTCCTTTAAAGTGCAGACATTGTACTTCCCATTTCCAGTACTCAAGTCCGGCTATATAAAAATAACCGGTTTCCCTGAATCCCTTCACTAAATATTACCCTGCTCACACTCCAACAGCTCGTCTCCATTCACTCCTATCTAACACGCTTACACATGCTTGCTGGAAGTCCAAGCCCCTCGTCCACAAAACCTCCTTCACCCCTCCCTTCAACCTTTTCGAGGACGACCCCTACCCCGCCTTCCTTCCCCTACAGATTTATACGCTCTCCATGTCATTCTACTTTGATCCATTCTCTCTAAATGACCAAACCACCTCAACAAACCCTCTTCAGCCCTCTAACTAATACTTTTATTAACTCCACACCTCCTAATTTCCACACTCCAAATTTTCTGCATAATATTTACACCACACATTGCCCTTAGACAGGACATCTCCACTGCCTCCAACCGCCTCCTCGCTGCAACATTCACAACCCAAGCTTCACACCTATATAAGAGTGTTGGTACTACTATACTTTCATACATTCCCTTCTTTGCCCCCTCAAGGAAGGTTCCTTGATGTTGGTGAGGGGCTCTTGATTTAGGGAATTGGATCTGTGCTCCAGTTCACCGAATTAAGCCTGAATGCCTTCCACACCCCCCCCCAGGCGCTGTATAATCCTCCGGGTTTAGCGCTTCCCCCTTGATTATAATAATAATAATCCCTTCTTTGCCACCATACTACTGTAACCATACTTTGTAACTAGTTCAGCTATCATAACTTTGGGGTCCAGTCACTGGACCCATTATGTACCTTTGTAATCTTTTGACTACCGCCCACAGGATGGGTATGGGGTGCATAAAGATATTAAACTAAAGTGTGTGTGTGTGTGTGTGTGTGTGTGTGTGTGTGTGTGTGTGTGTGTGTGTGTGTGTGTGTGTGTGTGTGTGTGTGTGGTGTGTGTGACTCAACAATCAATATTTGCACCAATAACTCATTACAGTTGTGACCGGGTGTGGAAGTGTGAATTGCTCATTACTCTATAATTTGTTCATGATTGTAGCCAAAGTATAAACGTAAGTAACCATTCTACAGAATTCATTACCTTTGTAACTTGTGAGCTCATTACCTTTGTACCTAGTTCAGCTATCAAAACTTTGGGGGCCCAGTCCCTGGACCCATTACGTACCTCTGTAATCTGTAAATACCTTTGTAACTTGTCATGATTGTGACCAGACTTACCTGGAGTTCATTACCTTTGTAAATTGTGAGTTCATTACCTTTGTAAATTGTGAGTTCATTACCTTTGTAAATTGTGAGTTCATTACCTTTGTAAATTGTGAGTTCATTACCTCTGTAACTTGCTCAGCTATCAAAACTTTGGAGTCCAGTCCCTGGACCAATTATGTACCTCTGTAATCTTTTGACTACCGCCCACAGGATGGGTATGGGGTGCATAATAAACATATTAAACTAACTTTGCCACCATAGATAACGTTTTTTGTCTCCACATATACCTCAACGCACCACTCGCCTTTTTTCCTTCATCAATTATCGAGTTTAATTTCAGTAACCATTATGTAAAAAACAAATTAATCTAAATTCTTCAATTTATAATGTTGATTTTTTTATAATAAAATGTTGCTTGGGGATTTTCCAACAATTAACTTCTGTAAATGTTACATATTAGGCTTCACACTACTTAAGACGCTAGTTCAGTTATGCTGAAAAAAGTATATACAGTCTTTGCTTACCGGCAGAATGTGTGGTGACCACAGAAAAATGTGACAGTTGTCTCCTTTTCCTCTCCTGGTAGAAACAAACATTCAGCATCATGGTGCATGACACACTGTTCCACAGTTCTATATTTGATAAGAAATGAAAATATTTGTTAGAGACTCATAAAAAAAGCAAACAACAACATACAATAGTATGACATGTATGTATGTATGTATATGTATGTATGTATGTATGTATGTATGTATGTATGTATGTATGTATGTATGTAATATATATATATATATATATATATATATATATATATATATATATATATATATATATATATAAACAGTCATGCGACTGGGAGGTATAGGGGTGTGCAAAGCAACGCATGTTGCTTTACCTGCTTTTCTGTCTTCGTGTTTGGCTTCCAGTGCATTAGTCAAGAAGATTGTTCCCGAACGCTTGAGAGACGTGGTAGGAGCTCAAGACCCCAGGTTTACTGAAGCAGCGATTCGGTGGGACACCCTTACAGATTCCTCCAGTAGACCAGCTCCTCCCAAAGAACACAAACAGTCCCACTGGGACAAACCGATCATGGAAAAAATCGCCAACACAATGCTCTCCAATGCCTCAGGAAAGGACAAAGCTCGTCTCCTGGCAGTGAAGGCACCACACTCAAGAGATTTCCTGTTAGCTGTTCCCAATTCCTCCCTGGGCACTCGACTAGACCCACAGGCCATTCGGATTGGTGTTGCTCTTCGCCTAGCCGCCCCCATCCTCACCGAACATAGGTGCATTTGCGGCAGGGCGACAGCTGATCAATTCGGACTTCATGGTCTCTTGTGTCACACGGCAGAAGGGAAGTATGCCAGGCATAAGGAGGTCAATGACATCATAAAGAGAAGCCTCGCCACAGCCCGTTGCCCAGCTCAACGGGAACCCCAAGTGCAGAGGTCTGACGGAAGTCAAAAGCGTCCTGATGGAGCCACTATGCTACCTTGGAAGGATGGAAAGCAGATTGCCTGGGACTACACATGTGCCGCCACATTGGCAGACACCTACTTGCCATACTCCGTAGTGGAAGGGGGTGGAGCTGCCAGCCACAGGGAGACCCAGAAGATCCGCAAATATAAAGACCTTCCCCCTTGCTATAACTTCATCCCAATAGGGTCGGAGACCCTTGGAGCATGGGGCAAGTGTGCTCAAAAGTTCCTAATAGAGCTGGGTGAAAAGGTCATCATAGAAACCAAGGACCACAGGGCGACCAGCTTCCTCTTTCAGAGACTCAGTGTTGCAATCCAGAGAGGAAATGCCTGCAGCATTCTGGGCACGCGGCCCACCGCCGGGGAGCTGGACGAAGTATTCGAGATGTAGCGCTGAGTCACCTATGTTGTTTTACTTTCTATCGTATTTTTGTGAATGTTTTGTCAATGTATTTTGTCTTTAAATAAAATATACATAAAATATAGGGGGTGGTAGGAGAAAATTCTCAAACAGCTTCAGGAAGAATCTTGGGTTTTCCCTGAAGCAAGTTTATTCTTTTCTCTGAGGATGAGGGTCCCTACGACAGTTCTAGAGGTGGTACCTCCCTATTTTTATAATTAATATATATATATATATATATATATATATATATATATATATATATATATATATATATATATATATATATATATATATGTTGGGCAGAAAGGTGGGCTAGTGCAAAGATGAGTAGTGGGGGGGGGGGGTTGAAGAGGGTTGGAATAGTTTTAAAAATGCAGTATTAGAATGTGGGGCAGAAGTTGGTGGTTATAGGACGGTGGGGGCAGGTGGAAAGAGGAGTGATTGGTGGAATGGTGAAGTAAAGGGTGTGATAAAAGAGAAAAAGTTAGCTTATGAGAGGTTTTTACAAAGCAGAAGTGTTATAAGAAAAGCAGAGTATATGGACAGTAAAAGAAAGGTGAAGAGAGTGGTGAGAGAGTGCAAAAGGAGAGCAGATGATAGAGTGGGAGAGGCACTGTCAAGAAATTTTAATGAAAATAAGAAAAAATTTGGAGTGAGTTAAACAAGTTAAGAAAGATTAGGGAAAGTATGGATTTGTCAGTTAAAAACAGAGTAGGGGAGTTAGTAGATGGGGAGAGGGAGGTATTAGGTAGATTACCTGGAGTTTACCTGGAAAGAGTTCTGGGGGTCAACGCCCCCGCGGCCCGGTCTGTGACCAGGCCTCCTGGTGGACCAGAGCCTGATCAACCAGGCTGTTGCTGCTGGCTGCACGCAAACCAACGTACGAGCCACAGCCCGGCTGGTCAGGAACCGACTTTAGGTGCTTGTCCAGTGCCAGCTTGAAGACTGCCAGGGGTCTGTTGATAATCCCCCTTATGTATGCTGTTGGAGTGTGAGCAGGGTAATATTTAGTGAAGGGATTCAGGAAAACCGGTTATTTTCATATAGTCGGACTTGAGTCCTGGAAATGGGAAGTACAATGCCTGCACTTTAAAGGAGGGGTTTGGGATATTGGCAGTTTGGAGGGATATGTTGTGTATCTTTATACGTATATGCTTCTAAACTGTTGTATTCTGAGCACCTCTGCAAAAACAGTGATTATGTGTGAGTGTGGTGTGAGTGTGGTGAAAGTGTTGAATGATGATGAAAGTATTTTCTTTTTGGGAATTTTTTTTCTTTTTTGGGTCACCCTGCCTCGGTGGGAGACGGCCGACTTGTTGAAATAAATAAATAAAAAAAATATATATATATATATATATATTAATATATATTATATATATATATATATATATATATAACCTGGAGTTTACCTGGAGAGAGTTCTGGGGGTCAACGCCCCCGCGGCCCGGTCTGTGACCAGGCCTCCTGGTGGATCAGAGCCTGATCAACCAGGCTGTTACTGCTGGCTGCACGCAATCCAACGTACGAGCCATAGCCCGGCTGGTCAGGTACCGACTTTAGGTGCTTGTCCAGTGCCAGCTTAAAGACTGCCAGGGGTCTGTTGGTAATCTCCCTTATGTATGCTGGGAGGCAGTTGAATAGTCTCGGGCCCCTGACACTTATTCTATTGTCTCTTAACGTGCTATTGACACCCCTGCTTTTCATTGGGGGAGATTATATTATATATATTATAATATATTATATATTATATATATATATATATGTGTGTGTGTGTGTGTGTGTGTGTGTGGTGTGTGTGTGTGTGTGTGTGTGTGTGTTGTGTGTGTGTGTGTGTGTGTGTGTGTGTGTGTGTGTGTTGTTCATGTGTATGAATGCAAATGTTTTTATAAGTCCATGATTACGTATTTGTGAGTGTGTTGTTATTTTATCACTACCGTATTAGTACAATATCACATTTCACTAATTACTATTTACTGTATCTTATCGCACATTACCTATTTACCCAGCTGGGTGAGAATAAGGTTGGGTAACCTCTTGCCAGGATGCGGTTGCGCCTCTCCTCGCTGCGACGATAGTAAAAAGAAGAGATGAACCTCTCTACTGGGTCTCTAATGATGTTTATATAGACAGGACGACCTGCATTCAACCTTGTGGAAGAAAAGAGGAGTTAGTAACTCATGGAAAGAAGTCACTTTGTCTGACATTTTCGGATTATCCTAGGCAATTTACACTACGTGTGATAATTGTATTTATGTGTACCTGTGCCTAAATATACTTACTCCTGACGTGAAAGGAATCTCATTTATGATACTTTCATTTTCACTTACATACGCAGCTATTTGGCATAGACAGTGGTGGGTGCAGAACAGGTGGAGCTGTGTAGCAATACTGTACGGTATATATAACTGCAATATATTTATATAATGTACAAGACTCAATAATAACCCACATGAAGACAGAAACTCATATAATTAATGGTTTATATACACGTATTTCGACCCCCTGCTGGTGTCCTCTTCATCCGAAGAGGACACCAGCAGGGGGTCGAAATATACAGATCAATTAATTTTCTGAGTTTGTCTCTAAGTGGGTTATTATTGAGCACTGACAAGTGTTCATTGCACCTTCTGTAGTTATTTATATTGTACAAGAAATGAAGATCTCTCGGTTTATAATTACTCGCAATAATGCCTATTAAATTTTAAAATAAGAATAACACTTTTCTTTTGTTTCATTAAAGTTTTTGTTTTACACAAAATGGGTACTTGTGGCTTGGAGTGTCTCGTGGCTCAGTTGGTAGCCTCCTCAGCTCTCAGGGTTTGATCCATGGGAGAGGAAAGTCTGGACCCCAATGGAAATGTCACTGACTTTTTGGATTATCTTATGTGATTTACACTATGTATGATAATTGTACTTATGTGTACCTGTGCCTAAATAAACTTATTGGGCATGTTTCCTTACACCTGCTGCCCCTGTTCACCTAGCAGTAAATAGGTACCTGTCTGGCCTGGCCTAGGCAAACCATACCACGGGCGGGGATAGAACCCGCGATCAGAGTCTCAAAACTCCAGACCGTCGCGATATCCACTGGGCGACAGTCTGGAGTTTTGAGACTCTCTGACCGCGGGTTCTCTCCCCACCCGTGGTATGGTTTGTTTGCAGTCGTGTCATTACGATTTCGTGAGTCATGTTGACTGGCCTAGACACCCAGGTGTTAGTTGACGGATGCGGGTCGAATTCTGGGGGAGAGGATTGAAGTATCCCAGTGGAAATAAGCCAGACAGTCCTCAATGACTTCCTGACTTCACTGGGTTATCCAATGAAATTAATAATAAAATAAAATCATCTTATACCCAGGGGGCCCTGGAGCAACCGTCCCCTTTGCTCTTATGTTAATTCTCAAATGACTCTTGATCCAATGAACTCATGCAACCCTCCCTTGGGATCAAACCTTATTACAGCTCATTCCCCAGGTTCTATATGACCCCCACTTTTCCCCATAAGTATGATAATAACTTCTGAGCGTGTGAATTTTTAAAATGCATTCCAAACTCACGCTGTGAAATTGGTATAGTAGATGTGCCGGTCATAGCTTAGCGCATGAGAAGGTGTGCCTTTAACAGATGAGGTAAGGTTCTCTATTAATTGTTCCTGGTCATCTTGGCTCAGCTGCCGTTTGTCATATATCAAAGATGAGACATGATCAAACCCTAAATGACGCGAGAGCCTGCAGGAAGAAAAAACATCATCAGTATATTGTATTCATGCAACTACTAAATAACTAGTGTAATGAACAATTGGCTTTGATCAATAATAACCCACTTGGGGACAGAAACACGGGAGATTAATTTATCTGTATACTTCGACCCCCTTCTGGGGTCCTCTTCAGCTGAAAACGATCACAGAAGGGGGTTCGAAATATACAGATCAATTAATCTCGTTTCTGTTTCCATGAGGATTATTATCGAGCATGTAACTAATGTATCTGAAAATATTTGCTAATATTATCGTTGTGACTAATTATTATTATTATTATTATTACTGGCGGCCTGGGTCTCTGCCAGTTGGCAACCTGGCTTTGGTTAAGTCTGCCGCCATTGTGGCTCAATATATGCTTATTGCAGAGCAATAGTTTATATCAATAACAAACTATATCTTGAAAATAATAATACACCATTAGCATGAAAATACTACACTTCTGAAAAAAGCTGATTATTTTTTTATTTGTCCAAAATCAGTTAACAGATTTTTTTTGATGTATAAAATACAAACAGTACAGTGCTGTACAACTAATTATTACACCAAATTTGGTTTTCCTCTTAATAACTAATCCACAAATTATAGATAAAGCTTTAGACGACATTTTCCTTTGACTTGGGCCATACCTGGTCCGGTCTATGACCAGCCGGGCTGTGGCTCGTACGTTGGTTTGCGTGCAGTCAGCAGTAACAGCCTGGTTGATCAGTCTCTGATCCACCAGGAGGCCTGGTCACAGACCGGGCCGCGGGGGCGTTGACCCCCGGAACTCTCTCCAGGTAATGACCAGGCCTCAGGTTGTTCTGATAATGGTCCAGGAAAGACCGAAATGTTGTCACAAGATTTTTCTCAAATTTGTGGGTGAGTTATGAGTTGTTCCAGTCATGGTATTGTAATTTTTATCATTTTTTCTTCCCTAGAGGGCAGAGGGGTGCCAATTTCAGCACCCCTCTGCCACGTAACACTCTCTGACTGATATATAATAATAATAATAATAATAATAATAATAATAATAATACAAAATTTAAATAACCTGGATTACTTACCTTCTGATTATGGTTTGCATAGTAGAAGAGGCACATTTGGGTATCCTATTATACACCAATATTGTGGCATCAGTAGGTGTAACATTGTAAGTGCCTCGAGTATTATTGTATACCAAGAATGAAATATTGGCAGATGTGACATTCATGCCTCTAGTGCTGTTGTTCTCTAAAAATGAGTCACTGACAGGTGTCAAGTTATACATGTGTCCAGTACTATTGTATACCAAGGCCGAGGCTTCAGAGGGTGTGATATTATATGTGGATTTTGTATTATACATCAAGAATGAGGCATGGGAAGATGTGACTGTGTATACACCTCTCCTGTTCTCACTCTGCCTTTCACTGTAATTATCCTCCTCATCACCGTTGTACTGTTTGACAGACTCATTTTCGTCATTCCTGTGATCATGATCACTGTTCCTCATTACATAACCCAACGGTTCATTGACAAATTTATAATCTTGTGTGATCACACTGATTTTCTCCTTTCCATTGCTATGGACACCTGTGTCGAAGTCTTTAGGTGAAGAACGTTCTCTGCTTGTCTTGTGACTGTCTTCCTTCAGGTTCTTGTTGAATTCCTTGTTATTCTTGGTGTTAGACCCCAATCTTTCTTGTTTCCTACGTTCTTTATACCGCAGCCTCGTCTTAACAGGCGCCTTTAAATTTTCTACATTGAATTCGGGAACATAACCTGAAAGAAAGAAACTTTATTTTTCCAGGTACACTTATTAATTACGTGTTTTTATCTGGTTACAATCGTAATGGCCCAATTCGTACAGACACGAATTAGGTCATCTTTTTTTTTTTACAAAAACATTACCTTGTATTTTAGCAAGGTACGCCTACAATAAAAAAATGGGTGCATAACAGATATTAAACTAACTTATCAGGTGCACTAATTATTATTTTTTAGACTGTTTATAACCTGTATAGTGTCATATACTGAAAAGGACATAGTTATGTATGGAGAATCGACCTGACGACACTGGAAGACAGGAGAGATAGGGGGGATATGATAACGACATATAAAATACCGAGAGGTATAGACAAGATGGACACAGCAACAAGGGGTCACAGTTGGAAGTTAAAGACTCAGATGAATCACAGGGATGTTAGGAAGTATTTCTTCAGTCATAGAGTTGTCAGGAAGTGGAACAGTCTGGGAAGTGATGTAGTGGAGGCAGGAACCATACACAGCTTTAAGAAGAGGTATGATAAAGCTCATGGAGCAGGAGTGACTGAGTAGCGACCAGTGAAGAGGCGGGCCAGGAGTTGTGACTCGACACCTGCAACCACAACTAGGTGAGTACAGATGCAGTATAATGCGGTTCTTTACTGATAATGTTTCGCCCACAGAGTGGGCTTTATCAAGACACAAACAGATATGTCTGACTTGATAAAGCCCACTGTGTAGGTGAAACATTGTTAGTACAGAATAGCATTACACAAATAACCCGCACGTTTCGGTCCGACTTGGACCATTGACTAGTCAAACCGGACCGAAACGTTGTCATAATTTCATTCTCCTACCTGTGGGTTATTTGTATATTGTTCCAGCCACGGCAGTGTGCCTTTTTATTATACTGCATATACGTTTTTTTTCATCGTGTCGGTATTTTATACCATTTGCCTCCATCAGTACTGTATAAGGTGGGAATGTACTGCATACTAATTATTTTCTGTTTTACTGTCACCGGGGTATTGTTCCTTTGTGTTAAGTTAGGTCAGGTTTGTCAGGAAACAGGACAAGTGTTTCCTGACATGGGTCTTAGTCATATGATGACCCACAGCTGGAGCTTTTGGTCATCTGACCGAGGCCTTCCACTGGCTTACTCCTCCACAACCTGTCTGACTCTCTTCCAGAACACCAGTAATTCGGTATTCCCAGTTACTTTTAGCTCAGTTACCTACTATATTGCCTTGACGTTGGTTAAAGGCTTTTGATTCAAGAAATTGGAGCTATTCTCCCCTTCCTTGAAGCAAACCTGATCGCTCCATTTCCCCAGGTACCGTATGACCCTCATGGGTCCTAATTACCTCCTATTTCCCAGGCCTTGCATGACGTCTATGGGTTTAGTACCTCCCCATAAATATAACGTGGTTACATACTAGAATTGAAGTGCCTTATGGAGTGGTGATGGCCGAGGTGGGCAGCGTGACCCACTGGATGCCAGGGTATTTTGAACCATCCCTGTAACAAGTGGGAATGGGCAGGAGCTGCGCTTCCCTGACCCACCGTGGCATCTCTGAGAGGACCGCTGAGCCTCGGGTTAGAGGAGCTGGAGCCTTCATCAGATATCGTAGTGGAGACAGCAGGATCTCCCAGGTGTTGAGAGCCACTCGAGCTTCCCTCCAGCACCTGCAGGTAGCGGGGGTTGCTGATGTGTGCGTGGGATGTGGGGAAAGGTGCGTGTACGGGCGGGGAGAGATGATGAAGGCTGGTGGATGTAGCATGGGGTCGAGGCACCTGCCACAGCACGAGCAACACTCCACACATACTCGCCCACGATGTTCTGCAGGAAAATAAATGTTCATTAAAACACCATCGGACTGAAGTCACTCTCTGTCCATCCTGTTGAGTGCTAATCACCCATCCTATAGGGCTGTAGTCACCCCATACCCATCCCGTTAAATAGTAGTGACCCCCATACCCATTATGCACGGCTGTAGTCACCCCATGCCTAGTGGAGAGGCAGGCAAAACATTAGACACACATCATGGGTCCAGGACCTGGCCCTACAGTGAGTCCAGGAACTGGCTCTATAATGGGTCCAAGGACCAGCCCAGTAAAAGAGATGGCAGGTGCAACCCGACCTGTCCTGCCAGCAAGGTCACAGTCATCACGCACCCAACCTCTGACAACATTTATTAAAGGCATAAACCCTTCAAAAGGAGGTGCCTTAATGATGAAGGGCTCTTCATCAAAGAAATTGGCCCTATCCCCCCTTACATGGAACCTGATTGCCTCCCATTCCCCATCTTGTATGGCATTCGTCATACAAGATGGGTTACGGGTTTAGTGTTCTCCCCATGGGAAAGCATTCACATTACTAAACTCACAAACTAGTATTTAGTCACTTAGCCATAATACCAACTTACCTCATAATTTGTAATATTTTACAATTAAGAATAAAACTAAGTATACCCGAAATGCCTAGCCATGCTAAGCGTTCTAGTGGTACACTCTGTAATCACAATTTTACCACATGTAAACCACACAATAACCAAATTTCTGTAAACTCAGCATTGTAATCCTTATAGAGAATAAACTTGAACTTTGAATGTGAAAACACCAATACGCATCAGATAATTCACCTAGATTACCTCCAGGAACTTGCAGTGACTCTAGATTTCCAGTCAATTCGAAGGTAAACTGCCCTAAAATCACTACGGTCTCCTGCTTGAGGCCTTAACAATTTCCTCCCGTTGGCTACCTTCAAGAGGGAGCTGGACAGATACTTGAAGTCGGTGCCGGATCAGCCGGGCTGTGGTCCGTACGTTGGACTACGTGCGGCCAGCAGTAATAGCCTGATTGATCAAGCCCTGATCTACCGGGAGGCATGGTCGTGGACCGGGCCGCGGGGGCGTTGATCCCCGGAATACCCTCCAGGTAGACTCCAGGAAGACTTCCAAAGGTTCCCCTGGGTGTTAGTTGACCGTTGTGGGTTGCACCCTGGGTAAGTGAACATAAAGACATCAGTGGAAATAAGCTACACTGCTTGATTTTCTTAGGTTATCCTGGGTTACTAAGCCACAGGATTAAAGGGAATAACCAATAGCACTGTTTTCAAGAACGAACTTGACACACTCCTTCAAGATAAGCTGATAAGCTGGGCTGTGGTGCCTTCCTTGGCCTGCGTGCAGCAAGCAACAACAGTATGATAGATCATGGTAGAATTACCAACACAATGTTAGGTAAACGGACATAGATGCAACTAATGTGATATTGTACTGTGGGACGGTTTTGCTCCCCAGGAGTGTTATGAAGCCGTTACCTAACAGCTTGATAAAGCTCCTGGAGAGCGAAACGTTGCCACAATAAAATGTCACATTAGTTGCACTTGTGTCCTTTTACCTAACATAACTGATCATGCAATCATCCAGGCGTAATCTGAGACCGGGCAGTGGGGGGGGGGGGCGCTGACCCCCAAGGGACAACATAGCGGTAATATAATACGTGTAATATTACCTCTATATTACGTGTGATATTACCTCTATATTACGTGTGATATTACCTCTATATTACGTGTAATATTACCTCTATATTACGTGTGATATTACCTCTATATTACGTGTAATATTACCTCTATATTACGTGTAATATTACCTCTATATTACGTGTAATATTACCTCTATATTACGTGTAATATTACCTCTATATTACGTGTAATATTACCTCTATATTACGTGTAATATTACCTCTATATTACGTGTAATATTACCTCAATATTACGTGTAATATTACCTCTATATTACGTGTAATATACTATTACTGTAATATTACCTCTATATTACGTGTAATATTACCTCTATATTACGTGTAATATTACCTCTATATTACGTGTAATATTACCTCTATATTACGTGTAATATTACCTCTGTATTACGGCTTCCTTACCACAGAATTCAACAATTACCAATAAATGTTTTTTCGTCAAGTGACGAGGAGTGCTTTGATGCCGGTGAGGGGGCTCTTGATCCCAGAAATTTGAACTGCCCTCTTCCTCGGATCAAATCTGATTGCCTATCACTCTCCAGGAGCTGCATGACCCCTACGGATTTAGTGTTTCTCCGTGAATACAATAATCACAGGAGACAATACACACCTACAAAAGTCTGGATTTATTAATGTATAAATAGTGTCAAACAATTGAAGAAACAGCAACAGCAGCAGCAACAAAACCAGCAAAAGTAGCAACAGAAATAGGAACAACAGTAATAGTAGTAGCAATAACCAACCACAGAACAAAGCTAGCAACAGAATAGGAACAGTAATAGTAGTAGTAGCAGTAGAAATATAAACGGCCTTAACAACAACAGTAACAGCAGCAGCAGCAGCAGCAGCAGCAGCAGCAGCAGCATCTGAAGCAGCAACAGAAGCAGAAGCAGTTGCCTTGGTGCTCTGCAGGCTCAGGTTACCAGTGCCCCACCCACGTCCTCTCTCTCACTCTCTCTCTGCCACAGGTTATCTCTCCACCATCGCTCCCTCATCCTCCAGTTCCCATGAACTAAGTACATAGAGGTAGCGTGTCTTACACGCTTATCAGACGGAGGGTCGAGCCTTCACTACTCCTCCCGCTGACATACCTACATGGCTAGACAGTATCAGGTGACATACTGTGATCGATGTTTCAGCCTGAACAATATTTTTCCCAGAACTGCATTAGAAACTCATAAATAAACTTTCATATAAAAAATGAAACTGAAGATGGTCACAGACCGGGCTGCGGGGGCGTTGACCCCCGGAACTCTCTCCAGGTAAACTCTAGGAAGATGAGTACTGTATATTTCTTCCAACTACCGAAGCGCTTTTCTGTCTTCTGAAGAGGGACTCAGTTGTAGGGCCTGTTTGGAAAATGGTTCTCGCGAGATTGCGTATTAGTTATACAAGACTCAACCAGAGCTATGACATGGAGGATCTCGGCATTTTTCTCAGCAATTTGTTTGTTTTTTGAACTTAGATTCGAGTCGCAATAAGCGACTGTAAATGAATAAACAGAAAGATGGACGGGAGGCTCTAACCGGGGTTTACCTGGAGTTTACCTGGAGAGAGTTTCGGGGGTCAACGCCCCCGCGGCCCGGTCTGTGACCAGGCCTCCTGGTGGATCAGTGCCTGATCAACCAGGCTGTTGCTGCTGGCTGCACGCAAACCAACGTACGAGCCACAGCCCGGCTGATCAGGAACTGACTTTAGGTGCTTGTCCAGTGCCAGCTTGAAGACTGCCAGGGGTCTGTTGGTAATCCCCCTTATGTGTGCTGGGAGGCAGTTGAACAGTCTCGGGCCCCTGACACTTATTGTATGGTCTCTTAACGTGCTAGTGACACCCCTGCTTTTCATTGGGGGGATGGTGCATCGTCTGCCAAGTCTTTTGCTTTCGTAGTGAGTGATTTTCGTGTGCAAGTTCGGTACTAGTCCCTCTAGGATTTTCCAGGTGTATATAATCATGTATCTCTCCCTCCTGCGTTCCAGGGAATACAGGTTTAGAAACCTCAAGCGCTCCCAGTAACTGAGGTGTTTTATCTCCGTTATGCGCGCCGTGAAAGTTCTCTCGCTCTACCACTTGTTTGGTTCATCGCTCTACCACTTGTTAGGTTTGGCAGTCAAACACCTCGGTTTTTTTCTTAATTGTTCCAGTTGCCATATAACACGTAGGATTCATTATCGATCTATTTTTTTTCAGCGCCAGGTTGTTCTCACGTTACTGTTGTCCTTTCAGAAATCTTTACTTTCAGCGCAGGTGCAATCTTTGAGTTTTTATTAATGAGTCTGATTATTCACGTTAGCTTCAGCTCTCCTCGTTAGCTCCTCAGTCCATCTGTTGGGCTACTCCCCTTGGCTTCCTCTCACCCTTTTGGCGATTTATAACCCTTACAGGTTTAACATATTTTGTGAATATAATAATAATAATAATAATAATAATAATAATAATAATAATAATAATAATAATAATTTTTATGTACAAATATGCAGTACATTTTTTACTAAATTTAAAAATTTGAAGGTGTTGTCTTACCTCAGCTCATTTACAGGCTTAGGACTGTTCTACCTCCGTTTATTTACAGGTCAAGAGCTGTTACGCTGCCTCACTCCATTTTTAAAGGCTTGATAATCTGATTAGCTAGACGTGTCCATATTGTGAGCAGTTTGTCTTTTATCCGTGTGGTTATTAGTTTGATTGTAAGTGGAATGAAAGCCCCTAAAAAGTAAGAGATTTATAGTGGTTATTATTACTATTATTACTTACTGTCTTAGTGATCATATTGTTGTTTGTAGCTTGAAATAAATTAGGAATTTATTTCTCACATTTTCATTATAAGTAACGAGTCATCTGGCAGCACAAGGTGCTTCAAATTCCCCAGCCTCAGGGGGAAAGAAACTTGCTAGGAGGTAAGGTAGCTGGGAAGACTTTAGCTAGGAACAGTCCAAAAGGACCCCAATGGATATAAGTTACTTTGACTTTTTTGGGTATCCTAGGTTCTCTACATATATGTTGCTATGTATGATACATAATCTATGTAACTGTGTATACCTGAATAAACTTACTCCATATCTCAAGTGTGTTCCATGTTTGTATACGAGGCTGGTCCTCTGGGCCTTCCTCCATTTATTATAAAGGAAAATGTACAGGGAATTTGTGAGGGTAAAACTATCAAGTCAATTAATCTGCAATGACCATAACTACCTTATATTAATGAACCCTACTATGGCCGGTAGTCACCCATACTCATCCAGTTGTCAGTAGTCACCCATGTCCATCCTGCTGTCAGTAGTCACCCATACCTATCCTGTGGTCGGTAGGCACCCATACATCAAGAACTGCAAGAAGCCCCTATCACGAGCCTTTTCCATCCTATGGAGAGGGAGCATGGACACGGGGATCGTCCCACAGTTACTAAAAACAACAGACATAGCCCCACTCCACAAAGGGGGCAGTAAAGCAACAGCAAAGAACTACAGACCGATAGCACTAACATCCCATATCATAAAAATCTTTGAAAGGGTCCTAAGAAGCAAGATCACCACCCATCTAGAAACCCATCAGTTACACAACCCAGGGTAACATGGGTTTAGAACAGGTCGCTCTTGTCTGTCTCAACTATTGATCACTACGACAAGGTCCTAAATGCACTAGAAGATAAAAAGAATGCAGATGTAATATATACAGACTTTGCAAAAGCCTTCGACAAGTGTGACCATGGCGTAATAGTGCACAAAATGCGTGCTAAAGGAATAACAGGAAAAGTCGGTCGATGGATCTATAATTTCCTCACTAACAGAACACAGAGTAGTCGTCAACAGAGTAAAGTCCGAGGCAGCTACGGTGAAAAGCTCTGTTCCACAAGGCACAGTACTCGCTCCCATCTTGTTCCTCATCCTCATATCCGACAGACAAGGATGTAAGCCACAGCACCGTGTCTTCCTTTGCAGATGACACCCGAATCTGCATGACAGTGTCTTCCATTGCAGACACTGCAAGGCTCCAGGCGGACATCAACCGAATCTTTCAGTGGGCTGCAGAAAACAATATGAAGTTCAACGATGAGAAATTTCAATTACTCAGATATGGTAAACATGAGGAAATTAAATCTTCATCAGAGTACAAAACAAATTCTGGCCACAAAATAGAGCGAAACACCAACGTCAAAGACCTGGGAGTGATCATGTCGGAGGATCTCACCTTCAAGGACCATAACATTGTATCAATCGCATCTGATAGAAAAATGACAGGATGGATAATGAGAACCTTCAAAACGAGGGAGGCCAAGCCCATGATGACACTCTTCAGGTCACTTGTTCTATCTAGGCTGGAATATTGCTGCACACTAGCAGCACCTTTCAAGGCAGGTGAAATTGCTGACCTAGAAAATGTACAGAGTTAGTTAGTTAGTTTAATATGTTTATTATGCACCCCATACCCATCCAGTGGGCGGTAGTCAAAAGATTACAGAGGTACATAATGGGTCCAGGGACTGGGCCTCAAAGTTTTGATAGCTGAGCAATTACAGGGAAGAGAGCCAATTTACCAATGTAATGAACTCACATATTTTCTATCAAGGTGAATGAACTCACACTTTCAAAGGTAATGAACTACAGGTAGGTCTAGTCACAATCATTATTGCACATACAAAGGTATAATACAGATTACAGAGGTACAAATGGGTCCAGGGACGGGCCTCAAAGTTTTGATGCTGAACAGTTACAAGGTAATGAACTCACAAGTTACAAAGGTAATGAATACATTAAAATGGTTACTTCACGTTTATACAGGCTGCAATCATGACAATTTTAAGTAATGAGCAATTCAACACTATTCCACACCCGGCATCAAACTGTAATGAGTTATTAGGTTGCAAAGTATGATTGTTGAATGTCTTCTCTCTCAACACACAACATTAACACACACACACACTCCACACACTACAAATTATACTACATGTCACAATCAACCACTACACACACACACACACACACACACACACACACAAACTCATACACACACGCACACACACTCATACACACACACACACTCATACACACACACACTCATACTCACACACACACACACACACACACACTCACAGAGAACCTTCACGGCGCGCATAACGGAGATAAAACACCTCAATTACTGGGAGCGCTTGAGGTTCCTGAACCTGTATTCCCTGGAACGCAGGCGGGAGAGATACATGATTATATACACCTGGAAAATCCTAGAGGGACTAGTACCGAACTTGCACACGAAAATCACTCACTACGAAAGCAAAAGACTTGGCAGACGATGCAACATCCCCCCAATGAAAAGCAGGGGTCACTAGCACGTTAAGAGACCATACAATAAGTGTCAGGGGCCCGAGACTGTTCAACTGCCTCCCAGCATACATAAGGGGGATTACCAACAGACCCCTGGCAGTCTTCAAGCTGGCACTGGACAAGCACCTAAAGTCGGTTCCTGACCAGCCGGGCTGTGGCTCGTACGTTGGTTTGCGTGCAGCCAGCAGCAACAGCCTGGTTGATCAGGCTCTGATACACCAGGAGGCCTGGTCACAGACCGGGCCGCGGGGGCGTTGACCCCCGGAACTCTCTCCAGGTAAACCCATTAAGGATGCACTAACTTATTAGGATACTTATACACTGTAGTAATTACCTTGTACTCCACACTTGAGCACCAGTCACTGAAGATGAATATACTACTGGAGGTAAAATATTACAGAGGCACAAAACGGGTCCTGGAACTTTCACCAGAGTTGTGTTGACTAAGTTATGAGAGTAATGTTCGAGCGGTCACAAGGGTCACCTAACAGTACACCAATCAAGTTCCGAGCAAAAACCTGGGTCCTGCGAGTCGTCCAGTTAGGACCCTAACAGCTGTCTATGTCCCCACGCCTCTCCTCCTATATCTCCCTTACCTTCTAGCAGGGCACGTAGTTGGGTCAGGTGTACTCACCGAGTTGAGTTTGTGGGGGGAGGGACCGATACTGAGCTCTTGACCTCGCCTCCTAGAGTGCTTTGATCGCTATCACTATTTACGGCCTCGTGGGTATTATCATACCTATTTTTGAAGCTGTGTATCGAGTTTGCCTTCAGCAGTGCCTCATCCAAATCATTCCACTTTTCAACCAGCCTGAGACTAAAGAAATACTTCCTTACATCCCTACGGCTCATCGCGTTTTAGCTTCCACTTGTGTCCCCTTGATCCCGGTCTTCTTAATTCAAAGTCTAACCCTATCTGCTCTTTTTAAGATTTTGTACGTAAATAATCATGCCCTGGAAAATCATGCTCCTGGAAAATCCTAGAGGGACTAGTACCGAACTTGCACACGAAAATCACTCACTACGAAAGCAAAAGACATGAGGACGATGCACCATCCCCCCAATGAAAAGCAGGGGTGTCACTAGCACGTTAAGAGACCATACATAAGTGTCAGGGGCCCGAGACTGTTCAACTGCCTCCCAGCACACATAAGGGGGATTACCAACAGACCCCTGGCAGTCTTCAAGCTGGCACTGGACAAGCACCTAAAGTCAGTTCCTGATCAGCCGGGCTGTGGCTCGTACGTTGGTTTGCGTGCAGCCAGCAGCAACAGCCTGGTTGATCAGGCGCTGATCCACCAGGAGGCCTGGTCACAGACCGGGCCGCGGGGGCGTTGACCCCCGAAACTCTCTCCAGGTAAACTCCAGGTCTCCCGTCTTTCTTTCTCTTCAGCTTTATTTCCTTCAGACTTTCCATACGGAGCATTCCTTTTAGTTCTGATACTTGCCTAATTGCAAACTTTGGACCTTTTCGAGGTTCTACATGCTTAACCAGGTATGGGCTCCATGCTGGGGCTACATACTCAATGACTAGCCTAATAAATGTTGCTTATAATATTCTAAAGGATGTTTTTTATTAAAGTTCCTGAATGCTATTCTAATATTTGCCAATAATAATTATAATAATAATAATAATAATAATAATAATAATAATAATAATAATAATAATAATAATAATAATAATAATCTTTACTTCTACAAGTACATGTACAAGGTATACATACCATAGCTGACATCAATGACATACTGCTATATAGAAAGCCCCTTGTTATGCAGAGCATTTCGGGCAAATTAGGTCAGTTTTGTCCCAGGATGTGACCCACACCAGTCGACCAACACCCAGGTACCCATTTTAAACTGATGGGTGAACAGGGACAGGGACCACAGGTGTCTTATGGAAACACGTCCCTAATGTTTTCCAGCCGTACAGGAGATTCTAACCCCGGACCTCAGTGTGTGAGCCGAGTGCGCTAGTGATCCAGCTACGAGACATCTTGCATATGCTATTAATGTTATACAGATTGTGTTTTTCTGGCTATATCCTAGGTGTTATACTCACCCACAGGTTCCTTTCACCCTGATATTTGCAGCCTCTCTCCACTGCAGCCAGCAGTAACAGCCTGGTTGATCAGGCTCTGATCCACCAGGAGGCCTGGTCACAGACCGGGCCGCGGGGGCGTCGACCCTCGGAACTCTCTCCAGGTAAACTCCGATCTGCCCTCCCCTCTAATTCGCATGACACTGCATTTGAGTTGTCAAAGGCAATTGTCGACAGACACTCTGTGTGTGTGTGTGTGTGTGTGTGTGTGTGTGTGTGTGGTGTGTGTGGTTGTGTGTGTGTGTGGGGTTGTGGTGTTGTGTGTGTTTTTTTGGTGGGGTGTAAGCTAC